TCTGAATTATATTATTTTCCTTCTCTCTAAAGAACTTCTTTTAAACTCTCTTGGAAGGCAGGTCTACTGGCAACAAATTACCTCATTTTTGTCTGAGAAAGTCCTTATTTCTCCTTCACCAAGTTGGTGGGGGTTTTTTTTCTCTCTCTCTCAACACTGTAAATATTTCAGTCCACTCTCCTTGCTTGCATGGTTTCTGAGAAGTCAGATGTAATTCATATCTTTGTTTCCTCTGGCCTCTTTCAGGATTTTTCGTCTCTGATTTTCTGTAGTTTGAGAATATATGCCTAGCTATAGTTTTGTTTTGTTGTCTTTGAATTTATCTTGCTTGGTGTTCCCTGAGCTTCCTGGATCTGGGGTTTGGTGTCTGAAATTTGGAGAAATTCTGTCATTATCGCTTCAAATATTTCTTCTGTTCTTTTTTCTCTCTCTCTCCTTCTGGTATTCTCATTACATGTGTATTACATCTTTTGTGGTTGTCCCACAAACTGAGTGTCTTTCTCAGTTTTCTTCTCCCTCCCGCCCCCGCCCCTGTATTAGGTGGGTTAGGATGGCTAGAATGAGCTGGAGTTGGGTATTTCCTTTCCCCCACCTCAGTTAGGCTCTGATAAAACCCCGCCGGTTGGGTTCTGATTAACTAGTTTCTCCTGAGGGCAGGCCTTGTTAAGAACACAGTGCTCTGGCATATTTGAAAATGGTTCATTTTCCCTCCTCCTGCTGGAAGCACAAAGGAATTTTTCTTTAGTATTAATGAGAAGTTGGTTGAGCCCTGGGAGGTAAATCTCATAAAATTGTGGGGATCCCTGTGACTAGGTTCTCCTGGACTTCTGAAGTCTCTAAGTTGTGCACTTAGCCCCCAGCAATTTGTCTATACAGCTCAGGTCTTCCTACCCCTGCACTGGCTCCTGTGGTGGCTGCCTCTCTCTGTTCCAGTAAAGCCACAGGGATTGTATCTGCCCGTCGGTCTCTCCAGTCTTGGGGGCAGCAGTCTGTCCTGTGTCATCCACTGTCATCTGTATACAAGAAAGGTTGTTGATGTTTGTTCAGCTTTTTTTACCTGGCAACTTCTAAGCTCCTTCCATGTGAAGCTGGAAAACAGAAGTCCCTGTCATGCATTCTTGTGTACTTGCATTGCTTGGGTTATGCTATTTCTACCTCTTCCCCACTTTAACTTTTCCTTTGGACCAAATTCCTGATTCTCTTCTCTGTCATGTGGTACAATGGCTAAAATACTTAAGATGACAGGATTATGATTTAACTTTTATTTTTGTCTTACAAGTAACTGACTTTATTTTCCCTTTTAATATTTTTCTTTGAGGTTTAATTTGCTGTATATACAGCAAAGTGCACAGCAATCAAGTGTTAAAGTCGTAAGAGTTTTGACAAACACAGAGCTTTGCTTCTGATATCTAATTGAAGCACATCACTAGGGGCTATCTTACTGAAATAAATTACAGAAGTGTCAGTGTTTAGCATTAATGAATCATTAACAAAATAAGCTGTCATTGAGGCATAAGAGAAAAATTCAACACAGCAAGGCTATATAAAACTACTACCTGGAAAGAACCAAAACTCCAACACACTGAGATCAAATTTGACCTTGACTGGGTCTGTTTTACTGTATATAGGCCTTCTGGATTCCAAGAGTTAACTAATAAAACATAAAAACATTTGAATATTGACAACTCATTGTTGACTTCCCCACAAAGATTTAACTAAAATTGAGTGGAAATCTCTGTTCCCTAATAAGGTGGAAATACTGAAATTTAATAGAAAAAAAGGATGAATCTGAGATATATTCCCGCAAGAGAATTTATAGCAAAAACTTCAGTCACACTTAAACACAAGATTAGTAAAAACACCAAATGGGCATGGTTGTTACAGTAAGCAGGGTTATGTAGAGTAATGTAATTCTTTGTTTTACACTATTCCCATAAGAGTCATATGGTGATCCATCATTTTCAGTGCAATATGTAAAAATAACTTATTTGAAGGATCCTTTGATTGGCTACTTCATTGCTATAAATACCACTCTGAATTTATACTTCTATATTTGCTTTTTTTCTTTGTATAATATTGCTTTAAACTATTCTCTACTATCTTGATTTTGGGTAAATTATCAAAAAGTTACCATTTTGAGACAGCTATATTTCTTTCTGACTTAAGTACCTCTGTAAAAATGGGCATAATGCAAAGAAATAGTGAAATAAGAAATACTTTTCTGTAGTGGGGTCCCTTTAAGGAATATGTTTAAAGAATCACAAATGGGTGATTATATAAAATTGCACCAAAAATGCTAAATAAGTGATATAAATCTCCAACTGGAATGCTTTCAGAGAAATTAGCAAATCCTTTTAATATTAGGTGAGTGAAGGGGAACAAAAGTGGCAGAGAAGAAACCGAGTCTTTTTATAGCAGTAAATCCTTTTGATCATCTAAACAAAGCTATGCAGCACTCCCTGCCCCAAGTCGATTTTATTTACACACAAAACTTGGTGTATCTTTTCAAGGTACTCATGCCACTTGAAACTCATCCATGTACACTCTGGGGTTTCATATAAATGAACAATCTCCTTGGGATATAGAATAATCTGTAAAAACCAACGGAAGTAGAAACTGCTGTTAGAGGCAAGTGGCAGAAAACCCCACTTCAAAAACAGAGCTAACTTCCAAACTACATACATGAGGAAATAAGTTATCAATTTTAACACACTTTATTGAAAATCATGCCAGCACTACTAAAAATGTTCCCACATACCACTCCCACTTTTCATACAGTATGTGATGTACAAAAGAATGAGTCATAAAATACCTCTGTAAAGGTCTGTAATATTATGCCTATGGATAATCACTATACAAGTTCCAGGTATGCCAAAAGATACTGGTAAAGGTAAATTTTTATAGTGATAAAATTTTATAGTAATAAATATTTCAAATATTTAAATCACTTTTGAAACATTTGCCATTGCTGAAATTATATCCCAACAGTGTTTGCTGGCTCATAAATTGAAAAATTATTTTGGCATAAAAACTTTTGAGCAGAGTACCTGCTGCCAGCATCTACGTCAGCTGGCACCTCTCCCCAGGTGTGCCAAAATTTTGTAATTTTCAGTGTGTGCTGTGACATGACAATGGTTGGGAAGCCCTACACTGTACCACAGGCAATAAGAGGTATGTGTTAACATGAAGAATGTCAGGGCTTCTTCATTTAGATCTTTGAGTTTATTTTGGCAATAATCATGAAATGGTTCAACTATTCAAAGGGCAGACCTTTTTCTAAAAGACTTAGCATGCTCTGAGAAAAAAATAAACTTGAAACTTGGAAGAGATTTTGTTCCCTGAATATTAAACATGTCAGCCTATGATAATCTAGAAATTTCTAGGTATACCCAGATATTTAGTTAAAATTTTATACTTCTCTCCCTTACATATATGAATAATTAGTTTGTAATGACTATTCTAAGCATCACCAATTTTAATTTAAAATAATGGCAGGGGGATTTCCCTGGCAGCACAGTGGTTAAGAATCCGCCTGCCAATGCAGAGGACACGGGTTCGAGCCCTGGTCTGGGAAGATCCCACATGCTGTGGAGCAACTAAGCCTGTGCGCCATAACTGAGCCTGCGCTCTAGAGCCCACGAGCCACAACTACTGAGCCCGTGTGCCACAACTATTGAAGCCCACGTGCCTAGAGCCCATGCTCCGCAACAAGAGAAGCCACCACAATGAGAAGCCCGTGCACCACAACAAAGAGTAGCCTCCACTCACTGGAACTACAGAAAGCCCGCATGCGGCAACAAAGACCCAACGCAGCCTAAAATAAATAAATAAATAAATAAATTTTTAAAAATAAAAAATAAGATAAAATAATGGCAGGCATTAGATGATCATTAATCTTTTTGCTAGTTTTTATTATACTATATAAGATTTGTATTTCCTGTGATCTGAGAAACATCAATATTCTATTTAAAATTTGTTCTTAAAAATATACAATATTGCACTTTAAGTTTTGGCAGTTTAATTAAGGAACGGCTGAGTAAAAAAAAATCATACAAGAAACCACAGTTTTTGTTTTATAATAAGCAAAGAGCTTTGTATAAAAGCAGAACTTACAGTAGTGCCAAATAAACCAAATATTTACAGTGTCGCTATTAAAGTCTTACCTCTAAAGGAAGATTCAGTGTATTGGATGCAAACATTACTAATCTAACAAAAGTACACTCTGCCTCCCTGCCTTCTGCTGAACAATTTTACGCTAAAGGGTATTCGTGTGAAAAGTTTTTGTAATTTCTTTCTCAAGAGAAAATACATGGAAAGTATGCTTGTTCCTGAAGCATCAAAACTGTGTCACTAACCTCCTTCACAGTTTCCTACAAGACCTGAAAAATCTCTAAACTAAGAATCAGAATCCCAAGGTAAGCATGAGTTTTAGTTTTTCTGTAGATATTCTTTTTTACAATTACAAGTATACAAGTTAGTTGGTTTTTAGTATGATTTTAAGGTCAGCTTCCTGTACTTTTTCTAAGATACATAAGATACTGACTATGCATCTGCCTAAATTATTTTTAACTTTTGTTACATTGTAGTAAAACTGTATACATTTATACTGACCCATAATTTGCTATTCTACTTTTTAGTTCCCAATTAGGTAAATACTCTAGACAGTGCAATATTTTTTACTTACCAACCAATTAGGAAGATAGTTTTGAATAGCTATTTGCAAAAACAAATATCAAGATTTAGACCTACTTAACAATATATTAAACATTCAAAAGACCAAAAAGAACATAAATAGAATGTATTGGTAATATAAATACATGACACAGAGATAATCACTTTTGGCACCGCCTTAAAAAAAAAAATCCAGCAGTACTTTATTTCCCTTCAGAGCTTTGGGAATACTTAAAATTTCTAAATTTCTATTAAACTTTTACTTTTCCTCCAGAGGAAAAATAATTCATAAACTTGAACTGGTATTTCAAAAGCATAGGATTTCCTTTTGTTACTTCTTAATTTGATCTGCAGAATGGACAGTTACTCAAAGTGTTAGCTAGCAGCCAATGAGTTAACTATGCTTTTATATTTTAATCCTACCAAGAAACAATAATGTCAAACAGTGATTCATTATGGAAAGATATGGTTTCTTCTTAAACAACCATGTACCAATTGCATAGTTGTGATCTGAGAACTCAAAGTAGAGAGCTACGAAGGCATTAATGTATGTTAACTCAACTGAAACAGACTGTTAAAAAACAGTCTATCTTGGGTAGATGTTAGCATAAACCTAGAGGGAAAAAGAAACAGTCATTAGCAAAAAAGTTTTCTTTAAAAATAGGTTAATGCTAAGAACAGTAGCTTTTAAAATTTCTGTTTAAAAATAAGCTTAATAAACAAGAATACAAATTTTAATTCAAAACTTAGTTCTCTGAAATGCCCTATTTTCTCGCATACAGCAGAAAATACATTTTTCATAATTTTTAACATTACATGTAAAAATGAGGCACTAGTTAAACATATTTGAATATATTCACACAAACAGGAGTTTCCATGTCATCTGTAGGCTTATATTTGCTCAATGGGTTCTTGATGGCAGACTGCTCACAAAAATAAGTCTTCTGAAGGAGGTGCGTAAGAGAAACCAACAAAGGCGTCGTCGGCCTCCAGTACGCTGGCGTTCACTATGGAATAGTCAGAAGACACACACACGGAATATGGAACTGTTTCTTCTGTAAACGCTGCATCAAAGTTCCTGATATCATCTGGTCCTGCCTAAAACGTCAAAAAGCATACTATTACTCACCTTACCGTTTTTCCCCTTACTTCAGTCCCTCATTAAAACCCCTTCATGAATTTGTCTATTTATTTGTCTATTTATTTGTCTATTTATTCCTGGCAAGTTTAGATGTCTTCCTACTCCATCAATGTCTTTGAAACATTTCCTGCTTTTCCCTTCCTGACTCTCACTATTCAGGTCCTTCTTACAGTTAGCGTTCTCGTTGTTGGGTGCGGGGGGGAGGAAAGATAAGGCTAGCGTGACAGGGTCCTCGCCTATGTTAATTTGAATCTTGGGTCCGGCAACTGACCCACTTTCTCTCTACCCATCACCACCTCTAAATTTAGAAAAGGCGCTCAGGGAGGTTTTCAGGAGAAAATTTTGCATCTCCACTTCCATAAAATGCCTGACCATCCAGTTTCTCAGTTCTGGGGAGGTTGAAGCCTTTTGATGAAGAAATGAAGGGACAGTAAGTAAAATTATGAAAGGTGACTCTTGTGCTACAGAGGTCATTCACTGAGCATCCGGCTGTGACACGCTTAGCTCTAGAGACCTAAAGGGACTGGAACCTGGGAAATGAAGCATAGTGGCTACTTAGGCTTGAAGGTAGCGGTCAATCTTCCTTCACGAATCTGATACAAGCTAACTGACTCTCCCCTTCCAATTTATTTACAGATTAAAACTGGGATACAGATTCAGGTGATTTACTCTTAAAGTCCATCTCTGAAGCTCTAGGTTATCTCTATGCTAAGAGGAAGGGAATCCTTAAAATGTTCAAGTCATCAAGTCTAACCGAGGTAAACAGGTTCAGAGCACATATATAAACCAAGGACACAGTTAGGCTCATGGTCTACAAACAGCAGAGCAGAGACCAGGGAAATTCGGGACGCTAGATTCTTTCATATGAGAAATTCCCCAACAGAGGAGAAAGAATGCTAGAAATTATACTCATGTATATATAAAAAAGTCATCAGGACTTCCCTGGTGGCGCAGTGGTTAAGAATCCGCCTGCCAATGCAGGGGACGCAGGTTTTGATCCCTGCTCCGGGAAGATTCTACAGGCTGCAGAGCAACTAAGCCCGTGTGCCACAACTACTGAAAGCCTGAGCCCCCTAGAGCCCATGTGCCGCAACTACTGAGCCCACACGGCATAAATACTGAAGCCCGTGCACTCTAGGGCCCACATGCCACAACTACTGAAGCCCATGTGCCACAACTACTGAAGCCTGCATGCCTAGAGCCTGTGCTCTGCAACAAGAGAAGCCACTGCAATGAGAGGCCCGCGCACTGCAATGAAGAGTAGCCCCCTCTCGCTGCAACTAGAGAAAGCCCGTGCACAGCAACGAAGACCCAACGCAGCCAAAAAAAAAAAAAAAAAAAGTCATCAAATTCTCATTTATAACCTTAGAAGCAAGGGCACTGGAACAAGACTAAGGTTTGAATTCTGGCTGTGAAATGTGTTAGCTGTAATTCTTTATATAAACTACCCTATCTCTGTGAACTTGTTTCCTCTTCTGTAAAATAAGAATACTGCCATCTCTACCTGTTAAGTTTACTGTGAGGACTGGATGCGTTAATACATAAAATTCCCAAGATTTGACATGTAGACGGTGCTCAATAAATGATGAAAAATGTTCCTTCACTGGACTTTATTAACATTCTGTGAACACCCTGATGGCTCCTGGCCAGTACTGAGAGGGAGAAAACTGTACAGCTTACGTTAAGAGTGAGAGAAGACTCCCTCCTCAAAGCACCTGAGCTCGAATTCTAGGTCTGCAATTTTAACTTTAGACTTCCGGCAAGTTATTTAACCTTTTCTGTGCCTAAGTTAACTCATCTGTATTACGTGGAAAATAACGGTACTATTTTGTAGGATTGCTGCCAGGCTTAAGTAGAAGGATACAAGTACTGAGGGCAGCATAGGAGCTAATTTTTGGATCTTTGTTTATGTTAGATGAGAAATGGCAACACGTTAGTATTTTATCTTGCATTCCTTAAATGTCGGTGAGTTAGAACATCTTTTAATATAATTAAAAAACCATCTGCATTTATTTTTCTGTAATTGAATATTTTGTGTCTTTTCTCCATGTTTCTACTGGTCGTGGTCTTTCTTCTCAATGACTTATAAGAATGCTTTATGTGTTAGGGAAATTTCTCCCAGTTTCTTATTTGCCGTGTTTTTTAAATGCAGACATTTCTAAATTTTATGTGGTCAAATTTATCAGTTTTTTCCTCTTACAGCTTCTCCGTTGCAGGTCTTGCTTTAAAAAGTTTAATTAGTTGTAGACCAGCAGGGATCCAAACGTGGAGGTGCCTGACTCCTCTGAAGTCAACACTGTTTCCATTTTCAGTGTTGCTTAGAAGGGGTCCCTAATGCTTTCATGAGCCTGATGACACGTTCATTTGAGGATAACTAAACTCAGTAAGACTTTCAATATAAAGGAGAAAATACAATAATTCTTAAAGGTCCTGGGTTCCTACTGCAAATTCTAGAAATGAGGACAGAAATTATTGCCAATGGAGTCACTTCTGAAACAGACACTTCTGGATGAGCTACATGAAATAAATCAGTCTACAAATATCGTTACATTTATAGTGTACAATATCACATCTATTAATTAATACCAGCTATCAGCAATGTACTGAAACTGACCTTGAATGAAATCTGAGTACACTAAATAATACTTTCCTGAAGTGATTTTCTTATCCTGCTCTAATTTTCTAAAAAAAAGTGTTTCACGAGCTTCACAGCAACACCAAAAAACTTTAAATAAAAAACAAATTCAGCTATGATCCTGTAATCTCAAATCAGTCTTGATTTATATTCTCTTCCCATCCTTACCTGTTACTTTTACTGCTGTAATCTTATGTCACAAAAATAATTACCATGTTTTCATTTAACATTATAAGGATTTTCCAAGCATCTACTCATTTTATATTTATTATCGTTATTATCATTTACTTAACAAGAAAAGGAAATAGAGAGTAAGGAAGCATAGAGAAAATAATGACCTTGGGATCAGACACAGATCTGAATCTCAGGTCTGCTACTTTTTTTTTTTTTTGCGGTACCCGGGCCTCTCACTGTTGTGGCCCCTCCCGTTGCGGAGCACAGGCTCCGGGCATGCAGGCTCAGCGGCCATGGCTCACGGGCCCAGCTGCTCCGCGGCATGTGGGATCTTCCCGGACCGGGGCACAAACCCGTGTCCCCCGCATCGGCAGGCGGACCCTCAACCACTGCGCCACCAGGGAAGCCCAGGTCTGCTACTTTTAACCAGCTACGTGACATCTCTGAGTTTTCATTTCTTCATTTATAAAACATGTATAATAATAGTAATAACAGTGACTTGGTAGCTTATTTGAGGCATAAATTACATGTTATAATGCATAAAAATTATATATGCCTACATATAGGAAGCTGTCATTAGTAACATCATTATTGGCCTTCTGATGATTTATTAATAATCTCCCTATCATTATATATTTATTTCCAAACATTTCAACATTGTTAATCCTTTAAGTAAAATGTTTCCATCAGTAGATTTAACAAGTCAAACATTATTTGACTTTTTTTATATCAATCTAGAAAAAAATTGTGCGTTAGTGTTACTTAAAATGTCTGTTAGTTTATAGGTATGAAAATGATGCCTCACAGTTACTGTAATTTGCATTTTTTTAAACTGTTGGGCTTTCTTACACATGCTCTTAAGAAGCACTTCACAATTACTGTTCTGGAAGATATTCTGATCAATCTAATGTAACTATAATCTTATGGGTCATCTTGAAGTTATCAGTTGTACTAGACATCCTGAGTGACATGTTTCATAAGTATTAGGTACTGATTCAATTTGATTCAGGTTGGATTTTGAGATCTATTGCTATAATTACGATGAGCTACAGTTCTATATTTCACTATTTTAGAAAGAAAGATTTGGATGTAAACATACCACATTAGGATTAAACGGTGGTGGAATCTTCTTTTGTGCAAGATCAGTCCAGCTGAGTGATTCAAAAAAAGGATGATTCTGAATTTCAAGCTAGAATAGTAAAGAAACAGATTTTTTACTAATGCTGAAGAATATATTAAGTACGCACTGAAGAATTTTATGAAACCGAACCATTTCTACTTTGTCCCTCAAAAGTTCTTTTTAGGGGCTTCCCTGGTGGCGCAGGGGTTGAGAGTCTGCCTGCCGATGCAGGGGACACGGGTTTGTGCCCCGGTCTGGGAAGATCCCACATGCCGTGGAGCAGCTGGGCCCGTGAGCCATGGCCGCTGAGCCTGCGTGTCCAGAGCCTGTGCTCCGCAACGGGAGAGGCCACAACACTGAGAGGCTCATGTACCACAAAAAAAAATTCTTTTTAGGTGCATGTTTATGTTATTCAATTTGGCCAAACGGTGTAGTGAAAAGACTCCCAGAGCAGATGTGGGAGAGCTACTCAGAAGGACAGACTTAAGTTACATCCTCTTCGCAGTCATCGTTTCCTCAAAGGTACAGTGGGGTTAACATTCCTAGATATTTCATAGGTTGTTTCAAGAATCATTGGAAAATATGGAAATAAAAGTCGTATGAAAAGAATAAAGCACTACATAGGTACAAAGAATTATTATTACTGAAAGGGGAGGTAAAGATGTTAAATGAGAGTTTTTACACAGTGGGGCAGGGGTAAAATCAAGTGACAAGCTCTACTACCAAAAATGATTCCACTCTAGGTTGCTACTGTCAAAAGTCGGCACAGTATTGATTCTAGCTTTTCTTCCTACAAGGAGGCATGAGAGTGTATAAACAGTAGGATCCAACCTAGTTTGATGGGCTTAAAAAGGCTTCTCAGAGAAAGCAGTATCTGACCAGAGTTCTGGAAGATAAGTAAGAAGTAGGGAGACAAAAAAGAATGAGGGGAGAACATTCCAAGCAGAATACAAAGGGCCTGAGGCGGCAAAGAGCTTAATTTGGTCAAGAAAATGAGAGCCCCATATGGCTGCGGTATAGGAAAGGATTGGGATTGTCACACAAAGAGGATCTCAAGAGGTAAATGGGCTCATCACACTGGGTCTATGCTAGGAATTTTGGATTTTATTCTAGGGTCATGGGACTCCATCAAGGAGTTTTAGGAAGGGGAATGTCACAAATGTGGGGTTTTTTTGTTTGTTTGCTTTTTAAGATGACTCTGACTAATGGGAGAATGGACTGGGGAGTCATGATGAGAAAAAGGAAAACAGCTACTATCATGGCCAAACAGAAGATGACAATGCTAGGAAAAGAGTGGTAGCAGTGGGAGTAGAGAGAAGTGTCTGGATACGGGAAAGATCTAGGAGGCAAATATACTAGGGTCTGGCTGTTTGTTGAATACGGAAGAAAGGAAGAGAGAAGAGTCAGGGATGACTATCAGATTTCTGGCCCGAAGAGCACAGAAGGAAGACAGCAAGGGTTCAATTACGAACATGCTGAACTCTCCAGAATCCATGTGGTGGTGCTGAATAGGCAGGTATTCTTTGAGTTACAGCTCACTAGAGAGGGGTCTAGACTGAAGATATAAATGTCAGATGAAGACACAACCAAAGCCATAGGGACAACTGAGATTGTCTAGGAAGAGAGCAACAGAAGAAACAAGGGTCTGGGGCCAACCATAAGGAACTGCAACACTTAAAAGTCAGGGTGGGGCTTCCCTGGTGGCGCAGTGCTTGAGAGTCCGCCTGCCGATGCAGGAGACGCGGGTTCGTGCCCCGTTTCGGGAGGATCCCACATGCCGCGGAGCGGCTGGGCCCGTGAGCCATGGCCGCTGGGCCTGCGCGTCCGGAGCCTGTGCTCCGCAAATGGGAGAGGCCACGACAGTGAGAGGCCCGCATAACGCAAGAAAAAAAAAAAAAAAAAAAAAAGAAAGAAAAAAGTCAGGGTGAAGAGGAGGAGCTTACAGAAGAGATTCTGGAGGAGGGCTCAGAAATACAGAGGAAAGCACGAGATGAGTGTGCTCCTGCAGAAGCCCAGGAGAGGGCTGGAAGCTGAAATGCTGCTGAGAATGCAATCTGAGGAACAGAAGTACTCAACAATCCTAGTAGCTATTGTGGGGTAGACTGAGAAATGGGAAGAGATTGGAAAAGGGAGAATGAATATAGAAACTTTCAAGTTGGTTTTTTTTTTTGGTGGTGGTACGCGGGCCTCTCACTGTTGCGGCCTCTCCGTTGCGGAGCACAGGCTCCGGACGCGCAGGCTCAGCGGCCATGGCTCACGGGCCCAGCCGCTCCGCGGCATGTGCGATCTTCCCAGACCGGGGCACAAACCCGTGTCCCCTGCATCGGCAGGCAGACTCTCAACCCCTGCGCCACCAGGGAAGCCCCAACTTGGTTTTCAAGTCGAAAACTTTCCAACGATTCCCTTGGCTATGAAGGGAGAAAGAGACAGTATTGGAGGATCCAGGACAAAAGAGAGCAGTTATCTGTGCAGAAAAAAGCATGCACAGGGTTCCTTGCAAGGGGTCAGGATCCAGTAAAGGCAGAAACCGACCTTTTCCACTATACTAGGAAGAAGGAAACAATTGGGGCAGGTGCATGTAGGTCTGCAAATCTGACAGCAGGAAGCTGAGTGAGTTCTGCTCTGCTGATTCTATTTTCCCTATAAAATATCAATAGAAGGCAAGAGCATCTGGTAAAATTGAAGAAGAGAAGGAATCTGGAAATTTGGAGAGAAGGTCTAAAATAGTTAATACAGAGAGTAGGAGCATAAACTGGAGAAGCACTGAGGAGACTAATGACTAGACTTCACAGCACTTCCAATTGTTGTGCAACTGTCATCAGCACTGTTCAGCAGCCCAGGGGTGACAGCTGGATTCATCTAGGGTTGCAATTTCTGCCAGTGAATTCAACAAAAGGACCAAGAGACAAGGAGGTATGGAGCATTAGCAAGATTGCCCTGAAACGATGGACTCTGGAGTCCAAGCTAGAGAGAAAACTGGACAGAGCTACCTGGTGCACTGGGGAGTGCAGGAGGGGAAAAGCAGCAGCAGACGAGTTTATTATTCACACCTCAAGTTCAAGACTGGTAAAGAGCCCCCAAAAATTCCTGAGAAATTTTAATGAATTTAAAAGTTCATGTTCCTCAGCAGTTCATGAATTCACTAACATAACACTGGTAACTGCACTAGCAATTAAATTACCCTGATTTGAAGGAAAAAAAAAAAAAAAGCAAACCTGCAGATCCCATAATTATTTCAAGGAGGTGTCACATTTAAATTCTCAGGAAAAGTGATTTAATGATAGTTCAAGCAAAAGGTATTACCTCATGCAGTCAGAAGGCACTTACATTCTTGTTAAACAAAATGATCTAGAAGTTTAGGCAATCAAAAAATGCATGCCACGCATTTTTTTTAGAAGGGGGTAGGAAATTCTAATAAATAACAGGGTATGAAAGCTGGATATGGGGGGATGAAAAGGACAGGATCAAATTGTTATGAAGATCAAATGAAAAAAATGCTTGTACAGGAGCTTTAAACACTGTATAGTTCTATATAAATACTGGTGAAAATTGCTGGAACAAGCATGCTTTTTTTTCATGGTGCTATTCTTTGAGAGCTGCATTCATCCCACTAAATATCACATAAAATAAGGATTTATCTTCAAATTATAAATAAGCTTAATAAAGAGGATACTGGGAAAGATGTACATACGAAGTCTTCTTTGGCACCGAGTCGGTTTTGCCTGTCTTTTTCTAGGAGTTCTTCCAGAATTGACCAGGCTGTAAGGCTCACTCCTGGCCTCAAACTTAGGGGCTTGTGAAGAATATTGTCATACATTTCAGCAACATCTCGGCAATAAAAAGGAGGCTGGGGGCGGGGGGGAGAGGAGAAAGTTAGTACTAATTGAATTATGCACAGATGGCGTTAAAATAGTTAGATTTGGCCTTGATATACAAAGAGCAGTCTGGCTGCACAAGTACAGAAAAGCACAGGCCTCTTTGGGTGTATGAACATCTACAGTGTGGCTTTCCATGTGAAGAGATTTTAAAACCCAGGGCGCTATAGAGCTTAATACATGTTCACTAAATGAATTAGGGTCAGTTTGTTCAATAACACCTGCAGAGAGGTGTAAATTGTATAAAAGTTGCAATAGGATCTGCTTTAAAGAAAACCACTACCAACCTCATCATTAGGCATAATGATAGAATTACTGGAAATAGAGATTCAACGCAGATCAAACAAATAACTTCTTGAGACCTGGGAATAAACTAATTTAAAAAGATTTCTAGTGGAGATGGAGACCTAACCTGTGGCAGTGACAGTGTCCTGCAGAATTAAAATTTTACTCTCACAGCTTAAAGACCTGAGGTACAGTTCCAACATGAGAATTAGCCAGTTAATTTTTGAGTTACAAGTTTAAAGTAAAAATAATTTTTAAAGTAAAGGGGGTTACAAGCTTGTTATTTTTTTCTTTTGTATAGGAAAGAAAAACTTCATTTTTTAACATCTAATTTTATTTTTAAATTGTTAATATAAGTCTCATTAATGAAGTATGTGTTTCAAATGTTCCCTTTTGAATCAATTACATTCTATATGCAATGATAATATTTTATACTTTCAAAGTCCTCTAAAGAAATACAAAGGATTCGGAAATATCAGGCTGACGAATACACAACACTTAAAGAAAGTAAGGTATAAAGTGGTTAACAGGTCTTCTAAGTCACCAGCATAACCAGAAAACTAGATCTTTTAACAAGCAGATCATGGTCAAGGGCAAAGAAGAGACAGCATTGGCTGTCATTAGGAATCTATCATTCAAGTTAGCAACATGAGACAAAAGATGCTCTAAAACATACCTCAGGGACTGAATTTCACTGAGATCGCCCCCATTTTCAGGGGAAACACACACACACACACATACACACACAAAGCAAAACAAAAAAGCCAAGACCAGCTCAAGTCTCAGCGGATGGTGGATTTAGCTTAGTGGGAGCAGCAGTGTGGGCGATGAGAGCCTGGTCACCATCCTGAGGCTGCTGGCCACTCACAGACCCACAAAGGGAACCTAAAAACTATTCTGAATATTTAAAAAATCCTAAAGAAAAACATACATTATTCCTGCAAGGATATGTAAGCTAATTAAAGTGCCTAAAATTGTTTGCTTTTGGTTGGAATGATATTAACTCAATGTAGTAAAACAATCTGACTCGTTAATCAGAAGCTCTGGCTAACTGTGTCTTTAATTAATAAAAACTGGGGAAACTGATTACACAGCACACATCACTTTTTTCCAATGAAATATTTAAGACATGATGTTTATGATAAAGGGAATAAAGGGTTCCCAGTAATAAAAAAAAGCAGAGCACCGCCAGTATACTTATTAAATCCTATAAAAACAAAATACGAGGCAAAACCAAAAGGTATTATTATCTTCTGAGAAATAAAATCTTTTTCTTTTCATCTTTTTGAAATTAGGCAGAATGACTGGAGCAAACTGAATGAAAGTGGGTAATTTTAATGTTACAACTTGGTGTCTATTTCTTAAAAATGTAGTGGGATTGAGAACATCTGAAGTAGTGATTAGTATGATAGAGAAACAATTATAAAAAATTAGTAAGAAAATGAAGTTTTTCTTTTTTGTGCATATCCTTAATGTGATTTTGGATTCATTTAACCAGGTTACTACTGTTCTGTTAGTGGTATCTAAGTGTCCACGAGATTACTGAAAGAGAAAACCAAAATCACTTATAACATATTAGAATCATAATGACAGAGGAGAAATACATACCAATCCATACAGCATTTCATACAGAACAGCACCAAGGCACCACCAATCTACAGTATTGTCATAGGGCTGTTTTCTGATAACTTCAGGTGCTAGGTACTATAAAAAAGATTAAATATTAGAACAACTCAATAAACAGTTGAAAACAAAATCTAGGAATAACTGAGAAATTTAATAAATTTTAGGTGTAATATCACACTAAATTAAACACGTTATCTAGATTTTCAGTGGGTTGGGTATTCTCATTCTATACCGGGGTTCTTGGGTGGTACTAGTCTTCAGAATCAACTGGGGTAATTTTCAAAATACACATATTCAAGCATTTCTCCCCAGAAACTGTAACGTAGTTAAGACAAAGAGAGGACAACAAATGTACAAACTGTAATACTAAGTAGGTAAAGTGGGTATTTTTTTGGGGGGGGAGCGGGGGGAGTCTTTCTCAAAATTAATTTTAGAAATTCTTATGGCCATTATTCATAATTGATTCTCCTGATGAAAGAATTTTTAGTGTGGCAATTACAATTAATTTTTTTCTTTTTATTGAAAGAAAAAAGAATAAATTGCATTCTTATTTAAGAATTACAATAGCAATTCTTTAACACATTATTTAGAAAAGTTGCTTAAGTTATTATATGGCTATTTACATTTCAAATTGTAAAAAATTTAAACGTCATGATTTCACACATATAAGATGGTGAATTTGAATTTTAGATTCCAAAATACATATTTCCTCTTCTCACATGAAATATATATAAGGAAACACATTCTTAAGCTTTTTTATGTGATCCAAAGAAATGGCAACATATATAAAAAGGGTTTAATAATTTCTGATCATATTTAGGTTTAGATGACCAAAAAAACTTCTATTTCCCTTCTAAAAATTACAGGACTTAAAGATTTTGTTAACTATTAAATGAATATACATCCATGAAAAATGTTTCTTCATACATAAACCAAAATAGAATTATTACAAATATATACAAGAGCTAGGGTTAGACAGAAAAAGGAAGAAAATATACATTTCAAAGTAAATAGTTGTACTTATAGATACTTTAAGTTTCTCATCTTGATTAGAAATCTGATGTGAGCTATTTTATCACACATTTTTAACATGATATTTGCAATTACTCCACAATCTTAATTACTCTTAATTGCAATTAAGATCACAATTAATATTTTAAAGTTAGAACACTTTAAATTTAATGTATGTATGTGTGAAGTTAGAATAACAAGGCTTTCACATAAATTTTAAGGATTATTATTACTGTCTCAAATAGAAAGACATTTTCTGCTAGTTAAAATGATTAGAGAATAGGATGTTCTGGTTAATAAATTCTGATTTGTAATTTTTTCCCCCATATCCACTGCTTTATTTTCTTCCATTAAACAATTTTTATTATAAAATATTTTAACCATACAAAAAGTATAAAAATATAACAGAAACCAATAGTGCTGCCACCCAAATATAGGCAATGTTAACATTTTGCCAAATTTGCTTTAGCTTATTTCTTTTAAAAAACAGCTTTTATTACGATATTCGCATACCATGCCATTCACCCATTTAAAGTATACAATTCAATGGCTGTTAATATATTCAGAGTTGTCCCAACATTACCTCAATTAATTATTGGACATTTTCATCACTGATTCATGATTTTTTTTTTTGTTTTAAGAATTAGAAATGTAATCAAATGTTTGAAGAAATCTAAGGTAAACTTTTAACATTAAAAACAAGTAAGCATAATTTATCTTTGCTGGGTTATCTGTGGTATCTCAAAATCACAGTTAAAAAAATACCAACTATCAATAAACTTTAAATGTTCAGAAGGGATGATTATCAGATATTTCCAGCTGGCTGGAAGCTGAAAATATTTTTACTCTACTTTTCTGATTTCAAATTTTATATATACAATTTGTGATTCATTTTAAATTTTATACATGAGTACATGAATGAAACATATTTCTTACCTCTGGTGTCCCACAAAATGTTGTTGTGGTGTCAGAAATAGCAATTCCTTCTTTACAAAGCCCAAAATCTGTTAAGACAACATGTCCCTGACAAATACAGGGGCAGTAAGATAAAAGAATGCATGGACATAAATTGACACTTATTAAAACCATTGGATTTTGAAATAATCATAGATTAAAAGGAAACTGCAAAAACAGTACAGAGTTCCAGGTCCCCTTCCCCCAGCTTCCCCCAATGCTGACATCTTATATAACTGTAGTAGTGTCAAAATCAGGAAACTGACATTGGTATAATACTGATAACTAGACTGCCAACTTTATTCAGTTTTCGCTATTTTACATGCACACATTTGTGTGTGTGTATGTGTAGCCCTATGCAATAGAGGTATAGATTCGTGTAACTACCACCACGATCAGACAGAGAACGTCCATCATCCCAAAGGAACAAAGGAACTCTCTCTCATGCTACTCCTTTATCTTTGAACTCCCCTATTCCCTCAGTCCCTGTCCCCTTGCAACCACTAATCTGTTCTCCATCTCTATAGTTTTGACATTTCGAGAATGTTATCTAATGGAATCATGCAGTGTGGAACCTTTGAGGTGGACTCTTTTCCACTAAGTATAACAACAACAAAAATCATGAACTAGTTAATGGAATGTAAGGAAACTTAAAAGCTTTTGTACAGCAAAGGAAACCATAAACAAGACGAAAAGACAACCCTAGAATGGGAGAAAATATTTGCAAAGGAAGCAACTGATAAAGGATTAACCTCCAAAATATACAAGCACCTCATGCAGCTCAATGTCAAAAAAACAAACAACCCAATCCAAAAATGGGCAGAAGACCTAAACAGACGTTTCTCCAAAGAAGATATACAGATGGCCGACAAACACAAGAAAGGATGCTCAACATCACTAATCATTACAGAAATGCAAATCAAAAACTACAATGAGGTATCACCACACACTGATCAGAATGGCCATCATCAAAAAGTCTACAAACAATAAATGCTGGAGAGGGTGTGGAGAAAAGGGAACCCTCCTGCACTGTTGGTGGGAAGGTAAATTGATACAGCCACTATTGAGAACAGTATGGAGGTTCCTTAAAAAACTAAAAATAGAACTACCATACAACCCAGCAATCCCACGACTGGGCATATACCCTGAGAAAACCATAATTCATAAAGAGTCATGTACCACAATGTTCATTGCAGCACTATTTACAATAGCCAGGACATGGAAGCAACCTAAGTGTCCACTGACAGATGAATGGATAAAGAAGATGTGGCACATATATACAATGGAATATTAGCCATAAAAAGAAATGAAATTCAGTTATTTGTAGTGAGGTGGATGGACCTAGAGTCTGTCATACTGAGTGAAGTAAGTCCGAAAGAGAAAAACAAATACCATATGCTAACACATATATATGGAATCTAAAAACAAAAAGGCTCTGAAGAACCTAGGGGTAGGACAGGAATAAAGACGCAGACATAGAGACCGGACTTGAGGACACGGGGAGGGGGAACGGTAAGCTGGGACAAAGTGAGAGAGTGGCATGGACATATACACACTACCAAATGTAGAATGGATAGCTGGTGGGAAGCAGCTGCATAGCACAGGGAGATCAGCTTGGTGCTTTGTGACCACCTAGAGGGGTGGGACAGGAAGGGTGGGAAGGAGACGCAAGAGGGAGGGGATATGGGGATATGTGTAAATGTATAGCTGATTTATTTTGTTATACAGCAGAAGCTAACGCACTATTGTAGAGCAATTATACTCCAATAAAGATGTTGAAAAAAGAGCTTCCCTGGTGGCGCAGTGGTTGAGGGTCCACCTGCCAATGCAGGGGACGTGGGTTCGTGCCCCGGTCCGGGAGGATCCCACGTGCCGCGGAGCGGCTGGGCCCGTGAGCCATGGCCGCTGGGCCTGCGCGTCCAGAGCCTGTGCTCCGCAACGGGAGAGGCCACAGCAGAGAGGCCCGCATACCGCAAAAAAAAAAAAAAAAAAAAAAAAAAGATGTTGAAAAAAAAATCATGAACTAGTAATTTTTAAAAGACAATACTCACAATTGAATCCAAAAGAATATTTTCTGGTTTCAAGTCTCTATCGAATTAAAAGGAAAGAAAAGGATAACTGAATATGAACTGAAATAAAATAATAAAAAGACATTTTAGAAGTAAAATTTTTAAAATTTACCTGTACACTATTTTGATGGAGTGCAAATAACCCAATGCACTGGCAATCTCAGCAGCATAAAACCTAGCTCTGTGTTCAGGAAAGGACCGTTCTCTTTGTAAGTGAAAAAACAGCTGTAAAATTGAAAAGAAAAAAAGAATATTAAGATCATTCACACATAAAGTGAAACAAATATATTCTAAAAATACAAAAACAGGATTTATTTTTGTTACTTTGAACGTGAGATAAAAATGCACCGAAGCACAGAACCGTGTCTCCCCCTTGCATATGTATCCCCTCCACCTAGCAATCATGCTCTCTTCAGCCACAAATCTTTCCC